TGACAGTATGCAGGAGAAACTTCTTCATGCTATCAGGAAGGTTTTCCCTCCAGCTGCAGCTGCTCAGGGAGCTGTTGATGGAGATCCTCACAGGATGTGGAGGAGAAGAGGTTCTCTGCCTCCTCCATGTGGCCTCTGGCTGAACTGCAGCCTTCAGAAGGCCGATGGGAGAAATGCTGCATCAGCTCAGCTTTCTGCTGATGGGTTGAAAAAGTTGATGTGCATTTAGTTTGTTCATCGAGTTTCTGTCAGCAGCCTTAAAGTCGTTCTTCATAAAGGAAGATGTGTGGTGAGAGGACGGTTCCTGCAGGAGCCACTGCTGATCAATTCACAGACAATCTCTGAATTATGGCTGGAATAGCTCCAGAAACAGGATTTATTCATAAAAACACAACTGCAGCTCCTGAGGAGGACAGTGGTTCATAGGGATCCTATTGGACCGGAACCTGTGAACTGGGTTCAGACCATTTCAAATGTAAAAACTATCAAAGCAGACAGGGAGGGAGTCTGAGTCTGTAAGTATGTGACATGGTGACATGGAGCCTTAAGAATGTTTCATCCCAGGCTGGACTTAAATCACTGCTTCTCAGAATATTTCTACCCTCCAGTTGCAGCAGATCCTTCAATCTGAGCAGAACTGAAGCAGTTTTACTGTTGGGAACTTAAACCCGTCGGTTTGGTTCTGAATAAGTCTGCCCTGAAGCAGCTTTAGGGTTTAGAACATGTTCTCATGCAGGAAGGAGCTCCTGTAGCAGTCAGTCTCACACCGGATCTGTTAGGCCTCTTAATGAAGACAAAGGTCTGATGAAGAGGAAAATCAGGGTTACTGTTGGCACCATTGGATCTGGTTCTAACCGTTCAGTTGCACCAGAATTGTTCTGGTTTTGATCCCGGATTCCTGATCTCAAGTCTGCCGGCCAGAAGAAGAATTCACCAAATACCAGCAAAGAAGAACCCGCAGGTTTGTTTGCAACACCATCTGCTGGTGGTGGCATTTGAAAGTTTTGCTTCAGGTTGAAAAAATACACAAGGAGTCAGTTTTGTGGGATTATTGAGATGGGATTATATCATCGTACAAAGAAAGGCTCATGACCATCAGAACCTCGTCTCCAACCCGCTACACCAGTGTTGTGCTAAGATAGGTTCCCCCTGCATTTAGAGCAACAGCCCACAGGAACATCCTTTGACTTCAAACATATACTCCCCTTGTTTTCTGTTCCTTACTGTTAGAAGGAAAAGCACTTTATTTATTTTGAGAGAGGGGGAGAGATAATCAGCCAAGGAACACAGGTCGGCTTCGAACCCGGGTCAGCCGTGCAGAGGCCTCTGTACATGGGTCATACCACTAATCCCTGCTCCACCTGCACAGCCAGGAAAAGCACTTTAATCTAGATCTGCCAGGTTTACTAAAAATTTAAAGCAACATTTTATTCATTCATCTCTGTATAATAAAGGTCAGAGCATACTCTTCCTGCTGAGGAGACTGAGGTCTGCAGGGGGCGCTCCTAAAGACCTTCTATGACTGTTAACACATCAACTTCTGTGGAGCTGTCTGTTGGAGCAGTGGCTTATCTGTAGCTGAGAGAAAGCGGCTGGATCAGCTGATCAGGAAGGCTAGCTCTGTGATTGGATGACCTTTGGACTCAGTGCAGGAGTTGGGAAACAATAGGATGCTAACTAAATGAACATTTCTGTTGGATGTTTCCCACTCCATGCATGAAGCTGGTGCTGAACTGGAGAGCTCCTTCAGGGACAGACCGCTCCACCCTAAATGCACCAGGGAGCGTTATCACAGATCCTTCCTCCCAGCAGCTGGAAGACTCTAGAACCACCACTGTTCCCAACAACCTCAATCAGTTGTTACATTCATGCTGAATTTGCACAGTTTCTACCTTAGTCATTAAATAACATCCTGCTGTCATTTTGCACATCTGATGTTGCTGCTATTTTCAAATAACCATTACTGTAAAAATGTCCATAGCTGTTTATTGGTTATTCTTTCTCCAGGTTCACAGTTTTATATTGTTAAAACACTTTACAGTACAGTATCTTCACTATTATGTTATCCTTATACATTTTTACTAAGGTGCATATTTGTTTAACCATTTTTTTTATTAAAGTAAAACATCAAGTATGTCATGTCTAGCTAAAGACTGAGGTGCAGTGAGGAATTCTGGGAAAATAAAATCAGTGGGGGATACGTTCCTTAGCACATGCTGCTTTTCCTTCAGCTTGAACACTCAGGCCAGCACTGTTCTGCAGGCAGAACCGGGTCAGTAGAAGAAGTTGGAAGTGGTTTTGGTAGCTGCAGCATCAGCGATTGGATATTTCTAAAGTTTTTTTAAATTAAGCTTTATTGTTAAAATAATAAAATGTCTCCATGTGAAAAAAAAAACAAGTTTGATATGATTCACTGGATCAGAAAACATGAGATGTTTTATAGGAACGTCTACTCTCCTCAGGTACGGTGACATGGTACCAAAGACCATCATGGGGAAGATCTTTGGGTCCATCTGCTCCCTCAGCGGCGTGTTGGTCATCGCCCTGCCGGTTCCGGTCATCGTCTCCAACTTCAGCCGGATCTACCATCAGAGCCAGAGAGCTGAGAAGAGGAAAGCACAGAAGGTAAAACCTCTGCTTACTGTGGGGGAGTAGGGTGCAAATATGAACAGAACCCACCTGGGCCTCCCCTGATGAGGTCACCAGGGGGCGGTGTAGAGCTGAGATTACCACATATTAGCACAGTGTTTACTGAAAGTAAAGGAGCAGAACCTACAGGTCCATTCTGAGTTGGGCCTTTATCATCTTCTGCTCAGACTTTCTGAAAACTAAAACCAAACACATTTTTCAGCAGAAGTGCTTGAAAACAACCAGACTCCATGTTTGTGTTGTCATGGTGACTAAATAATTTCTGCTGCTCCATCTCTGGAATCAGGTTCTGGTTTAAAAAAAACTGCAAAAATTGTTTCATCATTAAAACAAAATGAAAAAAGAATATTCCTGAGAGAAGAAAGAAAGAACGGCTCCTCAACAACTAAATATGTTTTTAGAAGTTCATGTTTTGAGGCCAATTATTCTATCAAAGCTTTTATATTTATTTTACATTTAAACAGACTATATTTGCTGTGAATTTTTGAAGCAAATTGAATTTTATGTAACTGGATATTTCTTTAGAAGTTTTAACTTTTATTCTAATACAATTTTAAAGTTTAAAACAGAATCATTTGTTTATTATTTAACCTTATTTTCATTAGGTTTTATTTTTCTACTTTTAATCAAACTATTGATTAAAAGTAGAAAAATAACTTTATTTATAACGTATTAATATTAATTTAAGCTTAAATTAATGCATTTGATAAAACTTCTTTGCTTATTTTTAGATAATATGTAGTTTATGAAATTATTCATATAATAATTATTCATTGAACACATAAATTAATATCTGATTATTTTTTATATTTACCAATAATAATTTAGTTAAGAAATAATATTCTGTGTATCTAAAACAAATCATGAGAAGCAGACTAAAATAAACCTTTTCATCCCCTGACCATTGGCGGCTCTAGACGGGGGCCAATGGGGGCCAGTGCCCCTGTAGATCATATTATGGCCCCTGTAGCAAAGACATGATACTAAAAAAGAAATTCTAATGGTGATATGCGCTGGAACAGACTCGGTTTCTGATAGGTTCTTTGGATCTATATAATTTTATTTCTTTAAAAAAATTCTGATTATCTAATTATTTAAAAACAATAGCTTCGGTGGTATTGAGAGAGAATCCCAGTTTTCTTCTGCTAAATGTTTTTTTTTTTTTCAAAACAAATTTAAAGAAAATAATCAGTTTTTCTTGAGTTCTAATTCAGATTTTATTGAAACCAGTAATTTTAACTTAAATTAAGAAAAATAATTCAATTATGAATGTACAGTATATTGAGTTAATATTCAAAATCGTTTAGATATTTATATAGCTAGATTTTTTTTCTGAGTTTTTATGGCACCTGTGGCTCATTTTTCTGACAGTAGGCTGACAGCAAAAGGGGTATGGGAGAGGGGGGGAGACATAATAATAAAATAATAATAATAATAATTAATTAATTTATAATGCACTTTTCACCAAAAAGGCCTCAAGGTGCTACGAAAAAGCATTTAAAAATGCGATACATAGAGGTATGCGGTAAAGGACCACAGGCTGGATTCGAACCCAGGTCCCCCACTTCGAGGACTAAAGCCCTCATGCTTGAGTCATATGCACTAACCACTGTTCCACCTGCATGCAAGCCAGAATTTTTTGAGTAGCTTTTTTTTCCATGCCAAGGGATTTTTGTTTAGATTTTAACAATAATCCAAATGAACATTTTCAGGCCAAAAAATAAATATTTTCAGTAGGAAGACATATCATTTTAATTAAACCTAATTGAGTTGAAATTTCACATCATGCAGCTCTCTTAATGTATTTGAATCCCTTGCCCTTTTATTTGCTTCATGCTTTTCTGTGCCTCCATAAAAACATGCTAAACCCCACCCCCCTGGCCTCCTGGAACATTTGGTCTAGAACCGCCACTGATCCTGACTTCAGCTGCTCTTCAGCTCATAAGAAGAACAGATAAGGAGCTGTTGGAGAATAACAGAGTCAGACCAACTGTTGGAGAACATCTTGGAAGCAGCAGAAGAACAGCTAACGAACACTAAAGCAACAGCTAAATATCTGCTGAAGAGCAGCTGGAGATCAGTGGAAGAATGGCTAAAGAACTGCTTGAAAAGCCGCTGAAGAACAGCCAAAGATCTGCTAAAAAGTAGCTGGAGGTGATGAAAAGCTGAAGAAAGAACAGCTGAGAGAAGCTGGAGAACATCTGCAGGGGTTCTGTGAACTGACCACTTTCTCAACACAAACCTGTGTGTGTTCACAAACAGAAAACCAGGCTTGCTAGAATTGACGCAGTGAGGAGCCGAGGAGCTAGTGCTTATTTGCGGTACAAACGCAGCCAGCAGCTGATTGGCGATGCTCAGGAGGTAACCATGGAGACCACCCTCTCCCTTTGAACCAACCGGCTGCAGATTGCTGCATGCAGGGTGTGATCTGAACGACGGGGGTTCCTCTCTGAGCTCTTTCTGTCGTGTTCCATCTTGATCTCCTCTATGTTCCTGTGTCTCCTCGCCCGTCAGTTGCATGTGAAACTGCTGCATGTGATTGATCAGCTGTTAAAGGCCAAAGGTCAGTGCCGCTCTGCATGTTTCCCAGGTCCAGAAAGCTGCTGGACCTTCCTCCTTCATGTTTGAACCAAAACCACATCAGTACTCGACCGAATCCCACAAGGTTTTCACCTTCGTTCACTAGCTGCCGTAGGTCAGATGTCCCTCACTGACGCTAAGGAGCTGAAAGGAATCGCACAATTCAATTCAGTTTATTTCTATTGCGCCAAATCACAACACGTCATCTCAAGACACTTTACAGTTCACCAGATCATACAATCAAATTGATTCAAAGTTTTCTATCTAAGGAAAACCAGTTGATTGCATCGACTCATTGACTCAAAGGCTATCCCTCACACTAAGCATGCTTGTGGCGACAGTGGAGAGGAAAAACTCCCTTTTAACAGGAAGAAACCTCCAGTAGAACCAGGCTCAGTGTGAGCGGCCATCTGCTGAGGCCGACTGGGGTTCAAGGAGACAGAAGCAGAGATACAAAAAGCAGCTGTAAAAGGCGCCCTGTCCAGGAAACTGCATCTCTTACAGTTGCATTTAAGGAAGGAGATGGTGGTCAAAAACTCACAGCCTCACTGGTACTTGGAATTCCACAGTGTCGTTAATAAAACACATTCTTCACCAACCTTAATAAAGCCCTGTTGAATGGCTGGTATGTTCTCATTTATGACAAATGAGCAGAGTCCAAACAACCCGTAACATTACGAAGAAAAATAGGGAATTAGCATGTCCGTCTGAGTACGTGTATCTCCCTGCATCACGTCTCCCTACAGAGAAGCAGTGGCACGTAGCAACACCAGAGTCTTAAAGAGACGCTACACAAATTACGACTGTTACGAAACACACAGCCAGGCAGACGAGCTCCGAGCCAGCTCCCATATCAGAGGATGAAGAGAAAACACCCAGTTAGTCACAGTCAGAGAAACAGGACTACACTGTTTCCAGTTTCCCCTCTTTCTAAACTAAGCGTTCCCCAAAAACATGGGAGAAATTTTCAGGGCTAGTTTGGTTTTTAATGGTAACAACAACAGCTTGGAAAGCAACATACTCCAGTTTCAGGCTCTGTTTTGTAGAAGAGACCCCTGGTGTGCTTCAGGACCCTGAGTGATGCTCACAGTTGTTTTCACATCCGGAAAACATTCAGGCCGTAAATATTCACAATATTTGATCTTTTCCTCATTTTGACTACGTTCTGATTTCATCCCATTAGTGGAAACAGAGAAACTTCTGGAGATGAGCACGAGTGGTTCTGCTGAAGGGGGGATGTTAATCATCGGCAGGAAACTAACTCTTCTTCTCTTTCTCCTCCTAATATCAACACGTGGAGGACTGAAGCTGTGCTGCATGACAACCAACCGGCCAATCAGCATGCAGAGTGCATAGGCAATGTGACCCAGAGGACAGAGTTAGGGGAACATTAGAGGAAAGATCTAACTTTATGAGAAGCCCATGGCCGTAGATTTGCAGAGGGACCATAGAGACATGTCCCTACCAACAATTAGATGTGAATAACATGTTTATAATTTACTATACAGTGTTTTTGCAGCAGTAGAGGAATTCTAGATGGATAATATTGACAGACAAAGACATGTTTTAGAGTCTCTATATTCCAATTAATGATTAATCAATTACTAAATTTGTTGACATTATTTCAATAATCAATTAATCTGATGAATAAAATACATGAAATGGGTTAAACAGAGTAACTATAGCCTAGATGTACAACTTGTAGAGTGAAGTTAATATATTAAATGTTCAGTGTCAGTTAATCTTCTAGTTCCAGTGGTGATGTAAATACAATAAATGTGTTTGGCTTTCCCTTAAATCTATTATTTTGCTTTGTTTCATCATACAGAGAGAATATTTAAAAGATAAGAGTTTGTTTACCTCTGCACAATTCTATATCTTCAAAGAAAAACACAGGATAAATCCACATATAACAAACATATTTAGACCATATTTGGTTAAATAGGCACAGATTTACCTTCTGTCTTAGTCGCAGGTCATTTCAAATGCAAACCTTTTCAAAGTGGAAAAAAGTCCTAA